CTGCGCCTCTCGACGGCTCACAGAAGTTTAAAGATCTTAGACACCGATGAAATTATTTCTGCCGGGTGGGTTCAGCTCTGCAGCAGAGCCGGATAGAAACGAAATGGACTGTGGCAAGGCCTTGGCTGCTTTCTCGCTGGAATTTTTTTCTGCGCAAGCATCACCTTTCTTTTATAATAACATTTTAAAGAGCAGGCAACTCTCAGGCATTCGTCGGCTCCCGGTAGATGCGTTGAGAACTGAGTAGTCATTTTTATAAAGAACGAAGCCTGATTTTATTTACCCGGCGGCGGAGCAGATGAAAACTTAATTAGCGTGCCTGTCTAAAACCCAGGCAGGCATAAATCTCGCCCGGCCTTTTGGATAGGGCCGCATCTTTGCTTATGAAAAATGGGATGCAAGCAACTCTGCTGCACATTTCTCTGATTCTCCGGGTCTCGGGCTGCTGCCGTGCATTCGATCAAGTTTAAAGGAATGCACATAAATCAGCAACCCCCTAGAGTCTCTTCAGTGAGGTTCACAAGCCCAGAAGGGCGCCTATGGACCCCCATCAGGGGATTAGTAGTCCAGGGCAACGTTCCTCACAGCTCCTAACCCCCGGAATTCACTGAGAGGAAGCGAGATGCTGCGTCTTCACCCGCCCAAACACTCAGCATCGAGCAATAATCTATACTTATCTATAATCTGGCTATTATTTGGACACAAATACGTCACACTTAGCTGAATTTCACTGCCTTCGGGTGAATCTCTAACAAAACATTTAAATTAGGTTGAGTATTTTAAATGAATATCTTCCCCTTTTGTCTCTAAGTTCGTTTGTTTTTAAAATCTTACATTAATTAAAAAAAAAAAGATTGGCCTCGGTTCAGCCTCAGGCGTAAATACTTAGTGAAATGCATAGTGACGTTTTACAACCGTCCACTTAAAGTTACTTAATAAATCTGACAGTATTGGGAGCAGATGGAAAAGGTCGTCTTTTTCAAGTTCTATGTTTATAATTTTTATTCAGGAAGTTTCCTTTTTAGAAAAAAATTACTTGAATGAGGTTTTCAACATCATTATTTATGGATCAGTCTCTATTATTATTCCTGTGGGGTTTTTTGTTTGGTTGGTTTTTGTTTTTGTTTTTGTTTTTCCAGGAGGAGGCCAATGTTCTCCTGACTATCTTGTTTGAAAAGATTTAGGGTGGTTCCTATTTAAAAATGAAAAAGTCTCCAGGCGGCAGCATACTTCTTTAATCTCAGCACTCTGGAGACTAGGCAGGTCAATTTGTGAGTTCGAGGCCAGCCTGGTCTACAGAGTGAGCTCCAGGACAGGGAAACTGTACCTCACAAAACAAAATACCACCATCAACAAAAAAAAAATTAAAAATCTAAGAAGTCATTATGATTCATAACCACCTGAACTAATCTGTAAATCCATGTCCATGTCCATTTTAAATAAGAAGGGAGTTAGCTGAGATTGGCACTGTCAACAACCATGTCAGAACTAAAGGGAGGGGTACCCTGATATCTTCTGGGGGGGGGGAGAGAGAGAGACAGAGAGGGAGGGAGAGAGAGAGAGAGAGAGAGAGAGAGAGAGAGAGAGAGAGAATACACTTTACCCAGAACTCCTGCAATAGTGGTGGCTTTCGAAAGGGGCAGTATTCCATCTGCAGAGCTGCTGCTAGCCTCTTTCCTAGGCCGTAGGTGCAGAAGATTTCTAAAGAAAAATATCTCCCATCCACAGAAGAGTCTTATTTGGAGCAGCTCATAAACAGTGTCTGATCCAACTCGGAGGGGAATTTCCAATACTTTAAACATTTTGGAGAAGTCATTAATGTTGCTTGCTGGTAGTTCATTTGGAAATGAGGCTGTAATACAAGGTGCAGGCTGCTGGGTCTCAAGTAGTATTTTCATGTGTTTCCACGAACGGTTGACAATCCTCAGGGTAGCAAAAAAAAAAAATTACACTTTACAAGACCGTCTAACATGTATGTTTCAGGGCCATTCTTTGTTTAAGCAGCTTTATATTTTTTCCATAATTCTTCATCTAGAAAGACATAAAGAGGTCTTCTTTTCAACTCTTTGTAAGTCTTCAGGCGAGGCCAGAGATGTTTCCATCATCTGAGATTGTAGCGAGAAAATATTTTTCCAGAAAATGATAAATTCAGTTCTCCCATTCACGATTATCTTCCCTTGACGTAAAGGTAAGAATCTGCAGCTGAAAATCCAAATTTCAAAGCTACTGGTTCCTTTGACATTTTAATATGTGTGTGTGCGTGCACAAAGGATTTGACAAAAAGAAAAAAACAAAAACAAAACCCCACATTATCCCACTTGTATATCAAATACATAAACATGCTGTACTATTTATGACTCTGAACACAATATCTCTTGTATTGCTGGGGGGTCAATAAACAATATTTATAATACTGATTGTTAATATAGTTTTGATGGTGGTTATTGATATTAAGTATGTTTATTTCTCCTACAAAACAAATGGTAGGTGGGCAAGCATCAATATAAGATTGCACACCACCATGGGGCAACGATCAGCTTTGAGCTGTCCAGAATAATTTTCCTTCTGCATCTGCATTGTGATCATTTTGTAGATGAAATATTTAAGTTCTCCTACTGACTTCTTAGAGAGGTGGATTGCTTTGAATTTTTGAAATGTAACTCTAGAACTCTAGAGTTAGGAAGGTATGTGAAACTTTTTAATTTGCCGTAAAGATTCCCAGATAGTTCTAATTAAGGTCACAGACCACCTTGGAGGGTGAGGGCCAGGAAAGAATGGTTATTTAAGAACACCTCTTGGACTGTAACAAACATGCACAGCTTTAAAACAGATCTGGAGAAATCTGATGCACAGCAAACCGCTCTGAGGACAGATGAAAGTTGGCCATTAAAGAAAGGAAGCAAAATTCACCGCATGAGGAGCATTTTGTACCCCAGTTCTAGAAGTCGCCTTAAATTACAGTGTCTTCAGTCATCAACAATTAATAATACTATATCTGTACAAATTCTACAATTATATACACAAGCACACAAACACTGATATGCAAATACACGTATAAACATATATTATATATTCACATATTATATACAAGCGCATGTATAATTTACATATATTCAAATCTTCTCCTTTTGGAGCAAAAAATTATGACTACTAAATCTTTAAAACAAGTCAAGTAAGAGCTCAATTCCCTTGAAGCCGAAGAAGTACAAGGAAGCTTGTCAACACGAGGTGGCGCCCTTGATCTACGAATCTGGCTGAGGCCAATTCATGAGCTGTCAAAAGTCAAGGTCACAAATTGTCTTTTTTCGTCAAGGTCAAGGTTTAAGGCCTTTCCTGGTCCTGTCATTTCAACAAATACCAAAAACCTGTCCTTTCAGTCACATGCAGACTTAGGAGCAGATTTTAAAATACGACAGGCTAGGCATTGCTGATACCCAACAACTGGTTTTCATTTGCCACAGGGAGCCTGGGAACGTACAGTGTCTCTCCCTCTTTTCCTTTCTTTCCCTTTCAGAATACCTGACACTTTCATCTCCTCAAAATCTTTTCATTTGTAGGCTTTTAGTTATGTGAGATTTCTTCCCCTTTCTCATAAAAATATTTAGAAAAAAAAACCCTCAATAATAATAGAAGACTGTTCCTGGGGTTTTTTAAGACAAACCTGCTTGTTCGGGTTTTTGTGCAGTGCAAGTTCCGCATAGAAAAGTAACTCGAGTGTTTCCTTCAGATTTTAATGGCAGTGATTATTTTATTAACAGAGTTAATACCACTATCTACAGATCTAATTTTCATTTTTAGTGGAAGTATTTAAAAAGCAGGTGCACAAATACATTTTCACAGTGTGCTGAATGTCTTTATTTACAAGATAGCATTTATAGTGAATATGAACAAAACGAATGTGTGACTTGAAATTACGGCTTGATTAAAAATGTGCTGTGAAGATGAATCCCTAAACTTTCTACTGCAGTCTCCTACCACAATAAACAAGGAAAAATTACTAATCCTTTAGTAAATTAAAATATAGAATGTAGACATTTAAACATTTTGGGAGAACGGGTTACCATTTTGAGTTTTTTAAGTAAAAAGGGAAAATGGTATCTCTAGCCAAATGTTTAACAAGTATTGGAAAATGCCAATTTAAAACAAATTTAAAGAAAGAGTATGTTTCAATAGAAATCCATGTTAGGGTAGGACCTTCCAGGAGATGGGTCGTAAAGTGAATTCTTCAGATTATCTGGTGAGATCTAAACACTTCAAAAAATTACAACAAATCCTGTGGAAAAATCTCTGACAGTGGGTTAATCCAACATGTTTGTTGTAAGTAATTGAAAGGTATTTCCAGAAGTTCTTTACTCACACAGGGTTCTCTTGTAGCCTCAAGGGTTTAGCTGGCCATATTTACTATCAAAACAATAGATCCTTGGATGAGCATTCTCTCTTGTCTCCCTTTTTAGCAATAGTTCAAATAAAAATTTCAGTGCCTTTCCCCCTTCTAAGCCTACACATGAAACATTTTTTTCAGAAAGGAACAATGGTAGGAATTTCAATAAGGTTTACCTGAGCAGGCACTTAACATGCAAAGGGGATGGTGTCGGACAGGCGGCGTGGAGACAGCCTTTGTTTCTGTAACCAGTTTTCAGATTACCATCTAACACAGTGTCCTAAAATATAATGGTCACATAAATACTTACAAGATTTGAGCAAATTCATAATTTATCTGAAATTGTGTGTTTTAGGGGCTGACGAGTTGACTTTAGAGTTTGTCACTTAAAGGTCTGGTGGGGTTGTCGGGAGAACTGGCAGTCTTTACCATTTCTTAAGGTTTTTGTTTTGTTTTTAAATTGTAGATTCCATTGAAGAGACAGTCCCCTTAGGAGAGCAAAACGCCAGTGTCTCTCTATCCGATTCTTCAGTTATTATTACGGATTATTATTATCTGGGCAAAGAAACCAGTCCTTAAGCGTTTCTTCAAGCTGCCCTCTGCTGCACCTTTCAATCCATTAGCTAGTGGTCTTGAGTTTATTGATGACTTTTTTCTCTTTGACCCTCCTGTTCTGGAACCAGATTGTGACCTGCCTCTCAGAGAGGTTCGTTGTGGCTGATATCCTCCTCCGTTTGTCCTTGGTAATGAATTTGTTCGTAGCATATTCCCGTTCGAGTTCTTTCAACTGCACCTTAGTGTAAGGCACCCGCTTCTTTCTCCCCCTCCTATAAGAGCTGGCGTCTGAAGGATGGGACACGACGTCTGTAAGATAAGGAAGAAGGCAAGTTACTCTGGGAGCCGACCTGAGCCAGAACACAGGCGACAGCTCAATGTGAGCTGCCGGCCTTGCAGTCCCTGATTGCTCTTTGCCACCAGCGCTGTACAATCCAGCCTTCTGCCAAAGCCTGGAGCGTTAGTAGGGGGTATGGTTAGCTGTGTATTGAAATGAAATCGCCCAGAATTCCAGTGACCACCCCAATCGGCTCATCCTGCATGGACAGCGGTCCACACCTTAGCACTCAACAGGGCACACACCAACACTTCTGTAGAGCTGGGCTCCTCTCAGCTTGCCTCAAGTCCCAACATTCTATGCTTCTCCAACGAAGCCTTTTTTTTTTTTTTTTTTTTCAGAGAACCATCAGGGACAATTTGGTGAGCTCAAGATCAAGTCTATTTCCCATCTTGGAGTCAATGTCAAGGGCTTGGGAGGGTGGGGTACACAGGGAGAAAGGGGCTGCCGGGGTTGGAACCCCACAAGCTCCCTCCCAGCCACCCCTTACCGAAGGAGGGCCGGGGGCCAACTCAACTTAGGGCAGGGCGGACGGACAGCGCCAGCCAGCCGGGGATCGGGCTCCCAGGGGTGCAGAATTGCTAGGGCAAGCCAGGCCAGGGAGAGTGCAGGGGGGGAACACCCGAGTGACCCTGGGGTGCGAGCCGAGGAGAAGCTGGAGAAAAGCTGGAAGACCCAGGCTGGAAAGGGGGCGCCATTTACCGGGCAGAGTGGACTTCCAGAGGTGGGGAGGCTGCGTCTGCTCTTTGGGGCAGTACATTTGGCCGTTCCAGCCGTTGGGCAGAGCCCAGGGCTGATAGCTTTCCATGGGAAGCCCCAGAGGCTCGTGGCGCGACTCGCCAGGACCCCCGAGCCCCGGCACCACTGGCATATCCAGGTAGCCGGGCACGGGCTGGTGGTGGTGGTAAGGCCCGGCTGCGTAGCCCTGGTGGTAGAAAGCAAACTCCTTGGCGCGGGAGCTGAACTCCTCGGCCGCGGGGCCGGCGGTGTCCATGTACTTGTCGGCGAAGGCGGCGGCGGCCGAGGCAGGCTGCGCGCACGACTTGATGGCGTTGGGGTGCGGGCCCATGCGGGCGCACGGGTAGTAGCCGCTGCCGAAGTAGCCGTAGGGCAGAGCCGCGGGCCCCGACGAGCTCTGTGCCGCCGCGGAGCAGGGACTGCACTGCTTGGCGGCCTCGGCACCCGCGGGCCCCGCCGGCCCGGGCCCTCCCGACGACGACGCGGCGGCGGCGGCGGCGGCGGCGGCAGCAGCGGCGGCAGCGGCTACTACCCGTGCGCCCGCATGGGC